TATCTCGACTATTCTTGGGTATTAATCTTCCATTTTTTTACTTTATGTATGCAATCTCCCCCACATGAATGCAATCTTTTTATGTCTGTCCCTCTCTCTCTGACTCATTTCACTTAGTGTGATACTTTCCATGTTGTACCACTTGTATGTAAATTTCATGACTTCATCTTTTCTAACCGCTACATAGTACTCAATTGTGTAGATTTACCAAAGTTTCTTTAACCAGTCATCTGTTTTTGGACACTCAGGTTTCTTCCAGATTCTGGCTATTGTAAAGAGTGCTGCAATGAACAAACAAGTGCAGATGTCACTTTGACTATACTTTTTTGCCTCTCTGGGATATATTCCCAGGAGTGGTATTGCTGGGTCAAATGGGAGCTCAATTTCTAATTTTTTGAGCATCATCCATACTGTTGTCCAGAAGGGCTGAACCAGTGGACATTCCCACCAACAGTGAAGGAGTGTCCCTTTCTCGCCACATCCACGCCAGCATTGGTTGCTTTTGTTCTTTTGAATGTGGGCCACTCTCTGAGGTGTGAGATGGTATCTCATTGTGGTTTTGATCTGCATCTCCCTGATGATTAATGATGTAGAGCATTTTCTCATGTGCCTTTTTGCCATTCGGATTTCTTCTATGAGAAAGTTTCTGTTCATTTTGTTGCCCCATTTTTTTATTGGGTTTTCTTTCTTGTGGAGTTCAACCAGAACTTTATATACCCTTGATATCAACCCCTTGTCAGATGTGTATTCGGCGAATATCCTTTCCCTTTCTGTAGACTATCTTTGTATTTTGGTCACTGTTTCTCTTGAGGTGCAGAAGCTTCTTAGTTTAAGATAGTCCCATTTGTCTATCTTTGTTTTCACTTGCTTGGCCAGTGGCATGACATATTTGAAGATACCATTAGTTTCAATGTCATGGAGGATTTTGCCAAGTTTTTCTTCAATGTACCTTATGGATTCTGGTCTGATGTTGAGGTATTTAATCCATTTTGATCTTACTATTGTACATGGTGTTAGGCAGAAATTTGAGCCCATTTTTTTTGCATGTAGCCGTCCACTTTTGCCAGGATAATTTGTTAAAGAGGCTTTCCTTACTCCACTTCACATTACTTGAACCTTTATCAAAGATTAGATGATCATATGATTGAGGGGAGATGTCAGTATATTCAACCCTGTTCATTGGTCTGCAGCTCTGCCTTTGTTCCAGTGCCATGCTGTTTTAATTATTACTGCTTTGTAGTAGAGTTTGAAGTTAGGGAGGTTGACTCCTTCCATTTTCTTTTTCCCAAGAATTGCTTTAGCTATTCGTGGGGGTTTATTGTTCCATATGAACTTCAGGTGTGTTTGCTCCATTTCTTTGAAGAATGTCATGGGTGTCCTTATAGGGATCACATTGAATTTATACAATGCTTTTGAAAGTATTGCCATTTTGACAATATTTATTCTCCCAACCCATAAGCAGGGGATATGTTTCCATTTTCTCATGCCCTCTTTTATTTCCTGAAGTAGTGTTTTGCAGTTTTCTTTGTACAGGTCCTTTATTTCCTTAGTTAATTTGATTCCTGGTACTTGATTTTCTGGGGCCCAGGGATGCAAGGATGGTTTATCGATCAACATAATCCACCATATCAACAAAGGAAAAGATAAAAAGCATATGATCATATCAATAGATGCAGACAAAGCATTTGACAAGATCCAGCACCCCTTTATGATAAAAACCCTAGACAAAATGGGTATAGAGGGGACTTTCCTCAACATAGTCAAAGGCAATTACCACAAGCCTACAGCAAGCATTATCCTCAATGAGGAAAAACTGAGGGCCTTCCCTCTAAGATTAGGGACGACACAAGGATGCTCACTCTCTCCACTGCTGTTCAATATAGTACTGGAAGTACTTGCAATAGCGGTTAGGCAAGAAAAAGATATTAAGTGCATTCAGGTTGGAAAGGAAGAAATCAAGCTCTCACTATTCACAGATGTTCCATATCATAGATGTTATGATACTATACTTAGAGAACCCTATAACACCCACCAAGAAACTCCTAGAAACAATAGACTTGTATAGTAAAGTTGCAGGCTATAAAGTCAATACCCAAAAGTCCATGGCTTTCCTATACGCAAACAGTGAGAAAGAAGAAAGCAACATGAAAAAAACAATCCCGTTCACAATTGTGCCCCAGTTTTTCAATCATACCATTTTGTTAGAAGGAACATCCTTCTGAGAAGTAATTGTCAGGCAAACAGAGCCTCATGTTCCGGTTCTGTGGGTAGGTAAGGCTATTGCCTTGCTCCACTTACAAAATGATCTCATATCCTATAGATATGGGACACTTGACCTTTCCATTGTGTCAACCCTGTAGCACTGTGCACCGTCCTCCCGTTGTTCATCAATTTGCTCAAGCAGGCACCAGTATTGTCTCCATTGTGAAACTTATTGTTACTGTGTTTGGCATATTGAATATGTCACAGGGAGCTTGCCAGGCTCTGCCCTGTGGGTGGGATACTCTTGGTAGCTTGCCCAGCTCTTCGAGAGGGATGGAAGAATCGAACCCGGGTCAGCCTTGTGCAAGGCAAATGCCCTATCCGCTGTGCTATATTGCTCCAGTCCCTCCAGTGCAATTTTTAATCTTCATATGATTATTGGTTATTAAGAAAGAGTATTTATTTATCTATTTATTTAGGAGAGCCACACCCAGCTGTGCTCAGGCTTAACACCCTGAACTCAGGGATCATGCAGGGTTCAGAGAACTGTATGGAATGCTGGCGGTCGAACCCAGAATCCAGGTCACTACATATAAACAAGAGCCATGCCTTCTGTACTATTTCTTCAACCCCTTTATTTATTTTTTAATGGTTAGATGTTCTTCCTATCTAGTATGTAAATTATAGACCACAATAATACCAGCTAGTTGTTAACTTACTATTTTCCTCTATTACTCATATTTCTTCAATGATTAGCATCCATTTGCCATGTTGAACTTAATTTTCTAATCCACTACTTACTTCTAAAATTACTCTTTATATATATGAGTGCACTGTGATCTACATACCATACCGTTACTAATAGATTTCAGGCATCCAGTGTTAGTGGTGCAGGCAGAGGTGTGATGCAGTTGGGTACTCCTCAAATTCTCCTTCCATCATCGATCCACTGTAACACTCTAAATAATATAAACTGTAAGCTATAAGCTGTGAAATCTGGTAGCACTTGCCACCTTTCTCTTTATCCATTGCTTTCTAACATCTGTTGTTGAAGGTAAATGTACTTTAATAATCTCATAAATTTATTTTCTATATTATATTCACATTCTAAAGAGTTGATCTCTATGTAATAATGCTGAAACATTTCTTCTTACTTCCAAACTCAGATATCCTAACAGTTGGTGGGTATCTCACCCTTGATTCTTAAGCAGATCTGAATTCATTTTCCCTTCACAGGGTACTTTATTCTCCTTGAATTCTATTTCTATGGGTGGTCTCATAGTTCACTTTAATTGTTTAAATTTTTATTTCATTTTGGTTTGGGGGCCACTAGGGAGTGCTAAAAGCTTACTTGGGGCTCTGTGCTCAGGAACTACTTCTGGGGCATGCCAGAGATCAAATTTAGGCCAACTACATGTACGGCAAGAACCTTACCCACTGTAATATCTCTCCACCCCCCACCCCCCCCAGCACACTTTCAGATATCTTCTCTATGCCCACTGTTTTCTTACCTTACACATCTCAACAGCTACCATGTCTTACCTTTCTATAACTTCTCAAAAGCCTTCCTTTTTCTATAACTGGTGCACTGAAGTTAGTTGTTATTTGCATAATCTGAGTTTCTAGGAGATAACTTTTCCAGTTATTTTGCCCCATCCTTCATTCTTTTACCCATCACTATCCACATCACGTCACCCATTCTTGGAACTAAATCAATTCTTCAACTAATATATCTGATTTTTATTCTTAGACATATTTGGTTCACTACCATCCTCCCATCTCTCTCCCCTTCCCTCCCCTTTCCTCCCTTCTTTCTTCCCTCCCTCCCTCTCTCCTCCTCCTCCCCTTCCTTCCTTCCTTCCTTCCTTCCTTCCTTCCTTCCTTCCTTCCTTCCTTCCTTCCTTCCTTCCCATATTTGGTGTTTTATTCCTTTTGGAGTTACATATAAAACTTTAAAATACTGTGGTTTACCCTGGGTAGGAACTGCATGCTGGAAGTAGATAAAGAAACAAACATGATAAACTCTCAATATCTGTGATGCAGACCATAGTGCCCAGAGAGAGAGAGAGAGAGAGAGAGAGAGAGAGAGACAGAGACAGAGACAGAGACAGAGAAGGGAAGTTCTTGCCATTGAGTCAGTCTAGGCAATAGGTGGGAAGGAAACTCTGGTCATTGGTGGTGAGAAATATACCTGGTGGAGAGATGGGTGTTGGATCATTGTATTATTGAAACCTGATAATGAAAAGCTTATCTTATAAATTAAAAAATAAAAATTTAATAGAAAATATTATGGTTTGGGAAATATGTTTGTAATAGTATTACTGCTATAGTTGTGAAGTGCAGTTATAATACCTCCATAGTTTCACTGATACTTCATCTCTTACAAACTACAGATCAGATTCTTTAGAAGATATGCAGGCACGTGTGGTTTTCTATGTCACTCTCCTAAATTATATCAACCACATGTTTCACTTGCAGTTTAGCAGTATTGAACCATTTGATCTTTTATTAACAGTTCAGTCTATTTCCTCACACATTGGCTCAAACTTTTCCCCCATTATTTGTTAAGACTCAGCTCACTGGGACATTTATGCCAAGGCACACTTTTCATGGTCCCTTTCCTCAATGTCTGATGAAAGTAGGGCATCAGTAACATTGAAAATAAGAAATATGGTAAAGGCAAAGGTAAAGGCCCTCCCGTTGATCGTCGATTTGCTCGAGCGGGCCCAGTAACGTCTCCATTGGAGACTTTGTTGTTACTGTGTCTGGCATATCGAATACTCTCGGTAGCTTGCCGGGTGCTCGCTTCGGCAGCACATATACTAAAATTGGAACGATACAGAGAAGATTAGCATGGCCCCTGCGCAAGAAATATGAAAATATGAAAAAATAATTTCATAAATATTGTGATATAGTCTTCATGAATATTTCTTATAGCAGTGAAATATGAATAAAAAAGTGTGTAAGGAAAAATGAGAAAGGACATTTCAGTATGATTGCTACACAAATGTTTCTCTTTCATGAATGGAAGATATATAACATAATGGTGGGTAAGGACCCTTTTGAAGTCCTTTCTATTGTAAAAAATACTTGTGGTATTATGACAACTCAGAATACTATCAGGAAGCACACTGTATCCTATTACATCCTCAGTATTTTTAAATGATAACACAATTTGTTCAATTCTAGCTAGAACTAATTCAATGAGAAAAATATAGAACCATCTCTCTCCTTTTCCTTGCATGTGGCACTGTGCATTTTGCCTTGCATGAGGCCGACCTCAAATCAGTCCCTGGTGCTGCATATGGTCCCTCAAAATCCCTCACACTACCAGGAGTGGGCTCAGAGTATGGAGCCATGAATAACCCCTGAGCACTGCTGGGTGTGGCCCCAGCAACTGACCCCTAGAATTCCCTAGAACAGCCATGCTGTTTTTACTCAGGGCGCCCCAGAGTGGGGGCGGGTGAGAGCCCTCCTCTCCCCAAGGGACCCAGCCCTGGAAGCCAACCTCCACTACCCAACTGCCGCCACGCCCCAGGCCACTTTCTGGACACACCATAAGACACTTCCTACCCATTTTCCATAATTATCACACCATGTTTGATGGAGTTCAGACAGTAGGCAACAATTCATAGAGAGAAATATATATATATATATATATATATATATATATATATGTAAAGGTAAAGGTAAAGGCCCTCCCGTTGATCGTCGATTTGCTCGAGCGGGCCCAGTAACGTCTCCATTGGAGACTTTGTTGTTACTGTGTCTGGCATGTCAAATACTCTCGGTAGCTTGCCGGGCTCTCCGAGAGGGGCAGAGGAATCGAACTCGGGTCGGCCATGTTGGCTGCGTGTAAGGCAAACGCCCTACCCGGCTGGAGCGATATATATATATATATATATATATATATATATATATATATATATATATTGGAGAGCCCAGCAAGCAACCAAGAGTATCCTGCCCACATGGGCAGAGCCTGGCAAGCTCCCCGTGGCGTATTTAATATGCCAAAAACAGTAACGATAACAGGTCTCATTCCCCTGAACCTGAAAGAGTCTCTAATCATTTGGAAAGATGAGTAAGGAGAGGCTGTTAAAATCTCAGGGCTGGGACAAATGGAGACATTACTGGTGCCCGCTCCAGTAAATCGATGAACAACAGGATGGCAGTGATACAGTGATAGTGATTATTTTTATTTTAGTTTTTAAAATTTTATAATTAACATTTGATGTATTTTAAATATTCTCATATTTCATATTAAGGCTGAGAAATGAGAACTAGTCCAAGACTCAGAGCTGGTAAGGGGTAATACTGGGATTTGAACCCAGACATTTCATAAAGTCTTTTAATTAGGAAGTTCTCTCTCTCTCTTTCTCTTCTCTCCACAGCAAACATGTTAGCTTTAACAGTAAAACTTTTCTAGGTTTTCTCACTTTGTGACTTTTGCCTAACATGTTGGGATCAGTCATGTTTCTTATGACAAGAGTATAGATAATGGCAAATTATTAAATTTATACTAATTAGATCATATTAGGGGGTGACAAATGTTAATTAATTGAACTGAAAGCTGTGGTTACAGTGATTTATATACAATTCTGTAATGGTGCATAAAAACATACCCTTTAATAATGTTTCCTGAATATTTGCCACGCACTGGGTTTTCTTCTAAGTACTTTGCATGAATTAATGTACCTAATCCTCTCAACATTCCTTTGAGACAGGTATTATTATTATTCCTTCTTTTTTCAACCAAGGAAACAGAAAAACAGAGCTTTAACTACTTGCTCAAGGTCACACAAGTAGAAAATAGAAAGTGGCTTCGTTCCAAATTCATGATACTAGATTTAAAAATTTGTGCTAATAGAATATAATATTTTGATATCTTACAAATTATATCTCCATTTATGCTACTCAAATATAATATATTTTCTTTCTCCCATAATGCACATTCTTGTCTTCCATTTCCATTACCTTTCACTACTATATTTTTGCTACGTCTCAATTGCTGACTTGTATTAATGCTATCACTTATTTAAATACTTTATAATTTTATTTACTATCTGTAATATACTTATTATGGGTGGAGCAATAGCACGGCAGGTAGGCGTTTTCCTTGAATGAGGCCGACCCGAGTTTGATTCCTCTGCCCCTCTCGGAGAGCCCAGCAAGCTACCGAGAGTATCTTGCCCACACAGCAAAAGTCTGGCAAGCTACCTGTGACGTATTTGATATGCCAAAAACGGTAACAAAAGTCTCACAGTGTTACGAGCAAATCAACGAACAACAGGAGGACAGTGATAGTGATACTTATTATATATTTATTATCTGTACTTATTCTTCTCAAATTATTGAAAATATTGACTTCTTTGACTCATAAAATTCCTAGGGACTGGAGAGATGAAACAGAGATTAATGCACTTTGCCTTGCATGGGGGCTCACCTTAAGTAAATCTCTAATACTGCATATGGTCCTTCAAAATCCTTCACACTACCAGGAGTGAGCTCTGAGTACAGAGCCTTGAATATTCCCTGAGCATCGTTGTGTGTGGCCCCAGTAACTGACCCCTGGAACCTATTGATATATTTTAATTTTTATTATAGTTATTAAAGAACCTCCGGCTCTGGGCACATCTCTTCGATTCTGTTCTTCCTGCATTAACATACACCTCAGAGACCTGGGCCGTACGAAAACAGGATGAGAATTGTATTCTGGTCTCCCAAAGAGGAATCAAAAGATCTATGCTTGGAGTAACCCGCTTCACTCAAATGAGAGAAAGAATTCAGAGTTCCAACCTCCGTCGATGGTCAAGAATCAGGGACACTGTCTCATTTGCCAAGGCATCGAAAATCAGATGGGCTGGACACGTAATGAGATTTGGAATCGATCACTGGACTAGAGCTGTTACCAACTGGATTCCACTGGATGTCAAAAGACTGCGTGGCTGCCCACCTACGAGATGGTCAGACTTCTTTGACAAGACCCTGAATGATCGGTTTGAGGCTCTTCAAGTTCCAGAATGAGCAGACACCATTGGGCTACACTAGCACATAACAGGGACAAATGGAGATGTTACTGGTGCCTGCTCAAGCAAATCGATGAGTAATGGGATGTCAAGTGATCAACAAGTGAAGTGATTATTTTTATTTTAGTTTTACTTAACATTTGATATATATATTTTAATAGTCTCATGTCACAGATGAAAGAAACTGAGGCTGAGAAATGAGGACTAAGATCTAAGATCTCAGAGCTGGTAAAGGATGATACTGGGATTTGAACCCAGGCATTTCATAAAGCCCCCATAGTCAGTGCTCCCGATAAAGCTATGTTGTTGTGCTTATCAGTATTCAAGATCAGTCTTTCCCACACTCTATGGAGACTGAGACTTGTTTCTATTCTTGGTCTGCAATCACATAGAAGGCATTTTTAAAAGAGCTGTGGAATTTAATCAGATAATTAACACTTTTTGCCTGGAAAACTAAAATTACAGAAGCAAATGTTTATGCCTTTCTGTCTCATGTTTATTTTCCTGGATATGTTATCAGTTCCAAATCTTTTTAAAAAAATTCAGGTACATTCTTCAATGTTCCATGTAACTTAGCTTAACTCCCATAGCTTAGAAACCCTATGGGAAATAATAAGATACTCATACTCCTTGGGGGTTGGGGGCAATGGCAACTTGGATACTTAGAAGACGCCAAGTTTCATCTTTGGGCTGAGAATGGAACATGGGCACTGATATAACTGCTAGTCAAGTTACAGCCGCTCCTATATGTTATGGCCTGATTTTGTGCCACACCCTATGCAGCTACTTTGTGTTTGCCTTCCCTAGCTGCAGGATGCACACAAATTCCATCTGCACTTTCGATCAAGACAACACAGATTTGGAGAAAGGAAACACTATCAACTTCACAAGCTAGTCAGTTTTGCTCAGTGATACAGGTGGAGGAACCAGGATTGTTGTTCTTGTTATTATTATTATTATTATTATTATTATTTTTTGCCCTCCCATTGATCGTCGATTTGCTCGAGTGGGCCCAGTAACGTCTCCATTGGAGACTTTGTTGTTACTCTGTCTGGCATATCGAATACTCTCGGTAGCTTGCCGGGATCTCCGAATTATTATTATTATTATTATTATTAATTTTATTTTTAAAATTCAGTGGCTTCTGTGGACCGAGCCCAGGAACCACCTCAGAGTATACCAGCCATCAGCTACTTCTTTCCCTATGAAAATGTTCTGTTGATTTTCCAGAGTGAGAGCAATGAGCCCACAAAGGAATAAATGTTGGAGGCCACAGCAGAGATCAGTAAAGAAAAATGCATTGAGAGCTGCAGAGTCCACTATTTGTAAGATTCACAGGGTGTGAGGGAACTGAAGTTGTTATCTCTTATGCCTATATGTATGTAAATTTTACCACAGCAATGATGAAGACTGAGAGACTGGCAGAGGGAGAACATGATCCAACATATTTCAAACATATATTTTAGCTGTAGAAGAAATAAAATAGCTGGTGATGAGAAAACTCATTTTGGGGGGGAAGAGGTTGAGGACATGTCTCAAGATAGAAGAAGAAAAATGAAAGAAAGCCAAATAACAAGGTCAGAGGTGGCAGGTGTCTCCTCACCGCTACAATGGAGAGAAGACTGCAACACCGAAGTTGCTGGCAGGAAGCCCAGAAGTTAAGACCGACACTCCTCACATTAGTTCAGAGCCAGCCTAAGATGCTGATATGAGTGAGAGGCTTCCAACAGGTTAAAAAAGACGCGCACTCTTCAGTGACAGGGGCTGATTGTGCTTCTGGGATCACCTGCATTGCAGCGGAGTAATGGATTTAAAAGGGTGACAAGAAAAGATGCAAGGAAAATCAAAAGCTTCTCTTTGCTACATTGAGCTTTAG